ATCTATGTTTTCCTCCCTGGCTCTTTGTTCGACACAAGGCGGCCTCAGGCCTTCCGCGAGCAAGCCTTCGAACCTTGGCCTTTCGATGTAGGATCGAGCGGCTCGAGCCCCCTGAGCCCCGTGGGGTTTAGAAGGGGTCAACCATGATTCGTGCATCACCCTATCCTTGGTTTCCGCAACTAGAGGGGCTGAGCTAACGACACTTGCCTTGATGGCTCAAGCGTCGCGCTCGGTGAGCTCGCTAATGGGCATGTTCAAGTGGAATCCGGGTCCATCATCCGCTGACGGGGTCGGTAGATCCCTCATGTGGCATTCCACTATTTCTTAAACCGCCCCCCGACAGATGCCAGAGCCATTCGATAGGCTCGGGTGGCCCATTGGCCTCTCCTCGATGGAGATTCTGTGGGTTTGGCTCAAGGTTAGAATCAAACGAGAAAGGTCGAGATGTCTCTGTCCGCTTCTGAGCGGGGTCAGGCAAGGCCGCTGGGGCTTATCTCAGTTTTTGTCCCCTGGCTTTGTTTGACACGAGGCAGCCTCGAGCCCTTCATGGGCTGGCCTTCAAACCTTGGTCTGTCGCCATTCATATCGAATGAGACGAGTGCCACTTCGTTACGCGACGCGAAGCATTGCGATGCAGCAATTGCATGTGCAATGTTTGGATGTACGGGATGATTGAATGAATGAGGATAAAGAAATAGCGGGGGTCGGTAACGTTACCTCGATTGTGTGAGTGATGGGTTCTGGGAGCTCTTACCAAACATGTCCGTGCAGGGTTCGGGTCTGACATTCGTGATGGGGCCGGTGTAACTTGCATGAGCTTCCTAGCTTTCCGTTTCTGTCTCTTGGCAGTGATCCGAGCCATTCGATCGGCTTGGGCGACCTGACAGCTTTTTCTTGATGGAAATTCTACAAGTAGGCCCGTCCGAACCCTTCTCAAGAAGGTGGATGCTCAAGCTTGGAGTGCGGGGACAAAGACTTTAATTATGCTGGTGAACAAAAACGCCGTAGCCGTCGGGGCATAGGGTTCTAGCGGTTCGCCCAGTTTTACTCAAAGTTTATGCCCGCACACCGTGCCTCCAATTTTTAAACGTAAGGAGGGGTCGAGCAAAGAGAAGTGTCTAGCGAGTAGACTCTCTTGCCAGCCCTCGAGCGATGTCCGATCCCCTGCCGTTGCTGGGGTTGGAGGCTCGATAATGAATTTAATATGTAATGTAAGTAAGTAAGGGTGCTTATCTCTTAGCGGCAGTTTTGGGCCATTCGATCGACCCATTTCTCGACAGTAGCCCAGCCATCCAGTCGACTTGTGTTTCCTGTTGAGACAAGATTTTCCTGCAGAAGTAGAGGACGAGAGTATCCCGCATGAGAATTTAGTTGGGTAGATGAGCCGAGCGATGAACTTGTGCGAAAACGGACAAGTTCTTTGTTATAGCAAACAACTTTTTTGCTCTTCTCTCTCTTTTTGTAAAATGGGTTTAGTGCATTCCGACCCTTCCCATAGTTAAGGTCATAAAAGCTTAGAGTGTGGGTGAGCTAGCTCTGATCACACCGGTGACCAAAGGCGTTGTAGCCGCTGGGGCGTAGGTGCCTCCCAGTCCGCTCAATTTTACTCAGAGCTTGTTCCCGAAATTCTAGCTCTTAGGATTTCCCGTGAGAAAGGAGGGCAGACACAGAGAATGTTCGTAGAATAAATGTACTCATATCAGCCCCCGAGTGAGGTCCGACCCCTTACACTTGTAGGGGCGGATGTCACAAAAGATCGGGGATTTCAATGACAAGACTAATAAGAGAAAGTACGCGTTTATTTAGGGGTAAAAGTGACGTAGCTGCTTGATGTTCCAAGTATTGGTGAAGACCTCCCCGTTGATGGTTTTCAACTTGTAGGCACCTGGCCCCACAAGCGTTTTTGCGGTGACACCACTCCCATCCCCAACCGTTCCTGTCTCCGCCTCTCTCTTCACCCCGCCGCCACCCCTCGGTGCTCGCCGGTCGGCGGTCGCCGCCGTCACTGACGTGGCACGTTGTGCTTGTTACCGACGAGAATAGGCAATGGGTGCAGGAGCGGGGGCTGATATCGGCGGACGGCCACGAGGCTTGGTTCCATGCGCTGGGTCACGAATGCGCCGGTACTGCTTGGCCGCCGCGTCGCCATCGACCTCTCCTTCTGGGCCTCATTCCCTCTATCTCCTTTCTCTCTTCTCCCCGTCGCCGCCCTACGCGTCGCCACTGCCGCACCTGGCTGCTCGCCGCACGGGTCCATGGCTCCGCCATCGCTGGACCGCGGGGAGCCGCGTGAGCTCCACGGCGCCCAAGGTCTGGGATAGAGAAGTTCGATGCTGTCCGCCGATGATGCAAATGGCAGGGAGGCGATGGCGTGCCAGGGTTGCGCCGGCGGCTGCCACGAGGGCGGCGTCCCAGCTTCCAGATCTGGCGGTCTGCGTCTGGCCATAACCCTGACATCGACGAACCACCCATCTTCATCGACCACGTCGCCCGTGCCACCACAAGCAAGAGGTCAGGTTTCCCCCTCCTTGCTCCTTACATCTCCTTCCATGACCCCCGATGCTTAGTTCCTCCAGCCCACCTGGCTTGCTCCTGATTTAGATTGAAATCGATTGCTTAGGAATACCGATCCCCTAGACGATAAGGACCAGCAGGATGAGGATTTCTAGAAGACGCCCTTGAGGATGTAGGGTCGCAGTCTCCAATTCCTCCTTTCTCTTGGCAACACCAGTTTGGGGCCGCTGCTACCACGATTTGTTCACATATTACGGTGCTGCACGGTTCCTAATGTGTTATCACATACTCCTTCCTTGCAGGAGCAAAACAATGGCAACTACGCTACGAGGAAGAGCAGGATGATGGTGTCGAATTCAACTGTGAGATTTTGATGAAGATGTGAGATCCCTTCTATGTTCCTAGATTTTTTCCCCACCGAGTGTTTGAGTGCCCTATGTCCATTTAACTTCTCTGGATCTGCACAAGAATATGTGAATTTGGATGACCCAACAGTATCTTATCTTCTAGAGAAACAACCTGACACCCCTGATCCTCTATTGGACTTTGTTCAGTCTCATGGCTCTGCTCTTACTGTCAATCAAAGCCTGTTCGTTTCGTGGATTATAAGTTGGAACAGTATTTTTCTCTCACACCAAACCAGCCAGCAGTAAATAAGTATTTGGTTTTGACCTGTGATTTTGGTTTGTGAATTGGCCGTGTCCTATTCACTGGTTTGTGAATTTGGTTTCGACCTATGATTTCAAAAAAGAATTTGGTTTTGACCTAAACTTTTATTAAGCAAACTGTGTAGTGTGCAGCGAACTAATATTTAAGATTTGGATTTTTGTAACAGTATTCCAAAAGTTAGCCTGTTATTGCTTTCTGTTATTGGAGTCTTATTTGTTTCTGTATCCAAATAAGTACAACCAAAAGACCCAATGACTGAGAACTATCCAGTGCACGGACATCAAAGGCAATTGGACAACTTAATCTGGAATAGTGTATGCATTAAGTTTAGTTTGAGTAATCCTTGTGCCCTGTTGTACTTGCTATGGCAAGGGCCTTCTCAACACTGCAAGAATTATTTGTACACCTACTATGGAAAATTGTCTAAAAAAATAGTTTGCTCATTTGTGGACTACAAAAGTAAATGCTTCAGTCCTATTTGGCTGCAATATTTGTGTTCTGATTCTATGAATATCATATACTTAAAAGAATTGTAGATAAATTTGCATGGTAGATTGGTAGGGCGCTGAGAAGCGCACTTCCTTTTCTAGTGTGCTTAAAAATATGCCTTGTTGTTCTAGGTGCTTGTGTTCATGGGCTGGCTGCTATCCTGTACAATGCTAGCCATGAGAAGGGTTGTGATGCCTTTGCTGTTGCAGGTGTTGTAAGTCAAAAGATTGGCCTCCCATTCTCCCAACATACGTTGAGGTTTGATGAATTAAGGAAAAGCTTGGCACATCTGTTGTCAGAGCAGCATCACTGCAAGGAGCTTTCCCAACAAAGTGCAAATACCATGTCAGATTTCCAAGAGATTGAACAGTATGGAACAAATAAAGATGACCAACACCCTATCCTATCAGAGATATTTGATTCACAGTTTGTTCATTTCTTTAGTAAGCTTGAGGATGATATTAGAGAAAATATAATGGATATAATTAGTCAGATAAAAACTGCAACTGCAGTCCTTCCTACTGAATCGGAGCAGAAGAATGGGGAGGTCGATGGAGAGTATTTGAAGTGACTAAAGTCATTTGTAGAGGAACAGTGCAATGAGATGCAGGTAGGTTTCCCTTTGTTGCTCCAGAAAATTTCCTGTTGAATTACTTCAAAAAATCGAAGCTAAGGAATGATCTCTTGTGCATTGCCATTAAAAAAGAAATGTCAGTTCTATTTTGGGACACCTGACAATAGTTTCAATTTCATTAACACCAGTTTCGTAATCCAAAGTAAAGACCAAGCAGTTATAAAACATGAAGGGTTTCTTGGCATGATATCATCAGAAAGTGATTCTTGAATTAGTTTTTTCACTACATATGTTATATGACTTAGTGGTAATAAAACTTTAGTGTATTTCTCAATAGTTAGAGCTTGCTCCTTGAGACACTACTGTACCATCAACCAATCTTCTGGTTAGCACTGAGGTTAGGTTGGCAAGAGGACCCTTTTATTAACCCAAAACAAGTTGGTTCATGCAAACTCACGCATTTGAAAAGTTCCTTCAGAAAATATTTTAGATAACATAGTTCTCTTAAAGTTAACTTGTTAATGGCCATAAATAATTGTTTCTAGATTGATGGGTTGGTTTTTGGGTGCCTGTTGTTGCTAGTGTTTTTTAGACACTGCCTAATAAAGTATAAGAAGCTGAGACTGATATTTTTAATGGCATCTATCAGGACTTACTGGGTTGGAATGCAATGTTAGCAGAAGAGTTAGTGAGAACTGGTGGTGGTACCACCATAGGTACTTCGCAGAAACCAAGCAGTCGATAAAGGGTCCAGATGGAAGCCCTCAGACAAGAACTGGAGGGAATGAAACAACAGAAGGCACTGAAAACTGAGAAGTCCCAGATTGAAGCTGAAGCTAACAACCAAAGAAACCTTTTAGTAAAACCGCAGTCTGATCTCAAGAGCCGCAGTCTGATCTTAAGAGATGCTTACAACAACCTAGAGCATGCCAACTACCGCTTGGATTCTGAGATAAAAACCTTGCGGCATGGAGGCAGTGTGCTGTATCCTGACGTGGAAGGAATAAAAACGCAAGTCAAGGAAGAGGCTGTTAATGACAGAGGTGGTACTGAATGATCAACTCGTCTGCCTCAGTCAGGAACAAACTAAGGTTGAGAAGCTGAGCACAAGGCTGGCCGAGCTTGGCGAAGATGTGCACACTCTTTTCTACAAGGTACTGACGATGACACTGCCATTCCGGATGATGACGATGAAGAGTGATGTGTTTATGTAATCCTGTAGGTCTGCTGGTGTACCGCCCTCATATTGAGTCATGATGTTGTCATGGCAAATGTACAGTGGATAATGCGTAGACAAAGGCACCATTCCAATTTAAGTTATTTGTGGAGGAAGGGACTAAATATATGACTTGTCCTGGTTGAATTTGATTCTCTGAATTTTCGGCTAGCTCAAAGAGCCTACAGGAGTTTCTAATCAGGTCTTGGACTTGTGACTGATCCTGCCTTCAGAGGTGCGGGCTGTAGGTTTTTTTGTGTGTTAGTGTTTGTGTTTTTGGGTTGTAGGTTCCTTTGTGCTATGTGTGTTTTTTTATTGGGGACTATTCTCCCCTTGTACTCTATGTACACTCTTTTCTTCTTAATGAAATGATGTGTTAAAAAAAAGTTACTCTATATTTATATGGTTCATTGTTAGTACAGTTTTGTGCGTAAATAAAAGCACCTAATAATGCAAATATTGTTTTCACTTTTTGGAGACGTAGCACTAGACTTGTAGATAGGAAATACAGAATGACAGGTTGTGTAATTTTGTAACTTTGAGAAAGGAAGGTGCCATCTTTCAGGTAGTTGTAACGTATATGTTTTGACACTATCATGTTCTAGCGTCCGGCGCACCACGCACGTCCGAAAGCCTGCTCAGTGCTCAACGCCCCCCCCCCCTCTCCCACGCACGTCCAAAGCCTGCTCAAGTGCTCAACGCCCCCCCCACCGTCCGCTTTCTCCCCACCCCATGCCCCCGGTCCAGTCCGGTAGCCCTTTAGCGAGCCACACGCCCCCAGCTCGTCCCGTAGCCTTCCGCGTCCACCTTCGCACCGCCCCACGCGCGCGACGAGCATGCCCTAGCGCCTCCTTGACCGCAGCACCCCTGTCCGCTGCCCCCAGCGCCTCCGTCCGCTAGGCCCCCGGCGAGCCATGCACCCCCGTTCGCCGGCTCGGGGCCCCCGGCCGAAGAACATAAAACGCTCGAATAAAACAAACACCTGCAACATAAGACTGAAGCAGCGGAAAAGATTAGGAACACTAGCAAAAATGCCTGTGCGCTACGGGGCGTATTGTTTATAGTCTAGTTGCTTGGACGACATAAAGTTCAGAAGATTTGTTCAACAATCGCGTCATGTGTTCTCAATCATCTTGGAATCAGACTCTAACATGCGGACACGCTCTACCCGAATTCATATCTGTAAAGTACGTTTGAAGTTTTATCCAATGATCAGGTCATGCATTTCAATTTATCCTGGAATCGAACTCCCCACTATGTCTTAACATAATATTCTAACTCATAAAAGTATGGGAGAGAGCAAATGATAACAAAAACACTAATATTTTCTCAAAATATATCATAACCTTAATTTTCATATTATCCAAGTGTTGGTAGAGTTAAATATCGAGTTTTGTGACTTACTATACTATGAGAACTCATAAAAGTATGTAGATCATCTTATTAAGCCCAAAAAAATTTACTTGTAAACATATCCTAACCTTAATTTCCATAGTATCCATGTGCTAGTATAGTTAAATACCGAGTTTTATGACTTACTTTGATGTAACAACCTGGGTGTTACGAGCCTTTTGTCTTCTCTCCGGACAATGAACCTCGACCTGGCAGATCGGTGATTGTAGCGATAAGTACTCCCTTGATCGTGACATGTTCCTTTTTGTACTCGTCCCAAACATCCGGCACACCCTTTTCAAACATCTCCACTAGTTCATCGATCACTGGTTCTAGAAACACATCGATGTCATTCCCAGGTTGTCTTGGCCCTTGGATCAGTAGTGGATCTAGATGTACGACCGCTTCATACACACCCAAGGTGGAAGGTTGTATATATAGAGCGTCACTGGCCAGGTGCTATGATTGCTTCTAACCTAGTCGAAAGGATTCATCCCATCTGTGCTCAAAGCAAACCAAAAGTGTCTTACCTCTCCACCGATGTCCTTATAGAACATAGTATTGACAGTCCTCCAGTCATGCCCATCGGCGGGGTGCCTCATCATTGTATCTTTCTTACGCTCTTCGCCATGCCAGCGCAACAGCTTGGCTGACTTTGGACATGCAAACAACCTATGCACCCGGGGAGCTATAGGGAAATACCAAACGATCTTTACGGGACCTCCTCTGGTCTTGGTACCCTCATCTGACGGCCCTTCCTTGTACCGTGGAGCTTCACACTTGGGGCACTTGTCCAAGTCTTTGTATTTTTCTTCACGGTACAATATGTAATCATTGGAACACGCGTGGATTTTTTCAACCTCGAGACCGATGGGGCAGATCATTTGCTTGGCCAAGTATGTCTTTTCTGGCAACTCATTTTTTTCTAGGAGCATTTTCCTTATTATACCTAACAAATGATCGAAGCCTTTATCGCTCAATTCGTTTGTCGATTTGAACTCTAATAGCATGATGTCGGCTTCTAGTTTGCTCATTGGACAATTCCTATACAATGGTGTTTTGTCATCTTGTCTCATTTTCTCTAGCTTTCTCAGATGTCTTTCACTAAGACATCCGGTCTCTACATTACGTAGCAGCTGAGAAATGCCATCGTTATCCTCAGTGTCGTCAGCTAGCGTGTTCCTAAACACATGATTAACTGTGGCCATAGGTTCTGTATTGACACCGGGTTCCACGTCAGCATCGTGGATGGCTACGTCAGGCATGTCCACATCATCATCATTTTCCTGCAGAACATTCACACCAGCCTCACCATGCATAGTTCATATCGTATAGTTTGGCATGAACCCCCTGATAATCAAGTGCGATCGTATAGACTCAATTTAATGAAAGTTCCTATGATTCTTACAATCTTTGCATGGGCAGAAGACAAGGTTCCCATTCTCAGCATGGGCTTTGACATCGGTGATAAATTGGCTGACGCCATGCATGTACCGCTTGTCCATTCAGGACAGATGCATCCACTCTCGATCCATCTCTACACAAAAAATAATGAGACAATAATTACAAAGAATTAATAAGAAATCGAGCTTCATGAACAACAATTGTAGATCGAAAGTACTATTTTTGGAAAACATTATTGTACACTAATTATTGAAAAATTGAAATTGGTAGCCCTGGCCCTATAAATTGAAAATTGTAGTAAAAAACAATTATTGCGCAATAATGAAGAATATCTATTCTACTCTACTTCTAAGAATTAATTATAGCATCACATACTAACAATGATGATCTTGACCACCATAGAATAATTAGCTAGGAATTTAAATGTGTTCATAGACACCAACCGTTTGGATGATGGATTCACCACAATTTGAGCCTTGCACAAATGTTCAATTGGAAAAGTGCTCTCTAGAATGGAGAAAGAACTAGAATGAGAATCAAGCAATGTAGCCATCAAAACGAAGCTAATTAAGCAACAAAATCAAAGGAGTGGATGTTTGTTACTAACCTTAAAGCAAAAAGATCAAGCCATTCTTCAAAATCCAAGTACTAGCTTCATGGTGAAGAGCAGCTGCAACAATGGAGGAAGGGTCCAAGCAGCGCCTCTGTTCTCGGGATGGAAGAGAGGAGGAAGGAGAGGACGGCTGCAGCCTTTTTGTGTTGTAGGCTTATCACCGTCGGTTCTTGGCTAGAACCGACAGTGATAGAGCCCAATCATTGTTGGCTCTTGGCTTAAACCGGCAATGATAAGTGCTCTAAAAAACACCGCCGGGTTCAAGCCACAAACCCGGTGATGATGGTCCTTCACTGCCGGTTTTAGCCCAGTCTCAATCATTTTTTGATTTTCAAGCTCATAACCGGCAGTGAAGGTACATCACTGCCGGTTCTCACAAATCCGGCAGTGATGATGCCGGCAGTGATGTGCAAATCTGGCGTAGTGTTAGCTACCCCTTGGTGACTAAAAGCCACTAAACTTTAGTGACCCCTAAACTTTAGTGTGGGTGTTTGGCATTTTAGTGACTAAAAGTGACTCAAGTTTAGTCACTAAACTTTAGGAGGGGTGACCCAAACACACCCTGACTATCATTTGGGAAAGTAAGTCAGGGTTGTACTAAAGCCATGGGACCATGACCTATAGGTATGGATGAAAACGGATCGGATACGAACGGATATCACTCATATTATATTTGTTTTCATATTTCTGTTCGGATTTGGATTCGGACACGGATAACGTTCGGATACATATACGAATACGGATTGACTCGGTTACGGATACGAATAATGAGTATCGAATACGGTATGAATCGGATTCGGAGAAGGTCGGATACAAATATCTATTCGGATATTGAGTAAAAGCAGCATATATATATATATCATGCGATGCATGAAACCATTACACCACTCTATGAGTCCATAATCCATCTAGATTAAGCGAAAGACTAAAGAGTAAAGCAACAAATAAGATAAAGATACAGATACATCATACATCAAACATCATATAAGCACCAATCTTCGCGGCATGAGTAGAAATAGCCAAGCACATTGCTTCATGGGTCTCATGGAGTCATGGTCATGGATTCAAGATCTACAATCCTTATATAGGCCATTTTTTTCATTTTGAAAAAGTTTGAACAAAATGTAGTTCAAATTTCACAAGTGTGTGACAGTTTTAGAAAGTCTGTATGAGATTTAAGAATTTGTGACTAGTGTTTGATAAAACTTTCTCAAATGGGAAAATGAGCTATGTAACAATTGTATATCTTGCTGAGATGATCAAACTTGGTATTCAGAGTTTTTTCATCTAAGGTCATTTAGTGTCTCATTTGAGCAAGTTTGACCAAGTCAAATTTGGTCAAATGAAAAAACAACATTTTGACTCTAGTATTATGAACTCTAAATGACTTTAAATTGAAAAGTTTTGAATACCAAGTTTGTTCAACTCATCA